ATAAGTATAACTCAAGTATTTTCAAAAAGATAATTAAATTATTACTATTCAAGTATGTTTATTTCAGATCTCAGAGCAAAGATATTTATACATCTTTGAGGTTTTACAAGTTTCTATCTAAACTCATTTATCACTCTAGATTACAATTACAATCTTTGGGACAAAGTATCAATAAATGAACAAATAAAAATAAGAGATAAAATACATATGGTAAGTTATAAGATAACACAAATAATAAAACAAAAAGAAAAGATAATATATATGTTCCAAAAAGAAAAGATAAAAGACAAAAATAAATGAAATCTGTTAATGAACTATTTCTAAAGTATTTCTGAACCATTATTGAACCGTTTGTGAACTGTTGTTGATTTCAGGATTAATTTCTTATTGATGATCTTAAAACATTGCAAAAACGTTGCAAGAATATTGCAAAAATGTTGCTGAACTGTGACTGAATCTATAACTGATACACCAATTATATTATTCAAGATCACATGTTATCCAAAGATTAATTGATTGATCATATTTTTCAAGTTTGAAAATTATGAAATTAAAGAAATTTATGTTACTATGGTAACATTATCTTTTAATTATATAATTTATCTTTTATAATTATTATTAAATAACTTGAAACTAAACTAATAATATTAATAATTTTTTAAATAATTAAACAGAAAGATTAAATAAAATTTTAAAAAAATATTAAGAGATATAAATAAGATTAATAAAATAAAAATCTAATAATAATTAAATTTATTTATAAGAATAATAAATAAGCTTTTACTAAATATATATTCTTTAAATTAGATATTAAATAATTATTTATATATTAATTATTATTCTTTTATCAAGTAATAATATTATAATTTCTTAAATATTAGATGAATATAATTAAAATTATTAAAGATTTATTATTAAAAATATAAGATAAATAAATAAAAAATAATATAAAAGATATAAAAATTTTTTATTAAAGATTAATTTTTTTTTTACTTATAATATTAATAATTTTATAAATAAATAAAGATTAATTAAGAAATTTATATTTAAATTTATTAAATTCTTTAGAACTATTAATAAAATTTCTTTTATTATATATAAATAAATTTATTTTATAATATAAAATTATATTTAATATTTTATATATTTTATTAAAAATATAATTTAGTTAATAATTATATTATTATTTATTATTATTTTAAATAATAAAAAAGAATATAAAATAAATAATATTCTTGATAATATACTTACTATTATAAATATTAATATTTTGTTAAATAACTAGATTATTTACTTTATATTATTATTTAAAAATCTCTTGAAAACTTAAAAATTGTTATAAAAAAGTAAATATCTTTGAAAACCTATACTATATATTTAAATATAATAAAATATTATATAGTAAATAGAAAGTATATAATAAATTTTAATTAAATTATACTCTTTTAATTTAGATCTTTATTTTATACTCTTTATATTATTTTTTTAATTTATATTACTTTATTTAAAGATTAATTTTATTCTAGATATATAGATAATTATTATATATAGTATATTACAAAAAAAATAAAATAATTAATTTTCTTTATAAATATTTATTTAAATAATATAAAAACTTAAATATATATATTTGAGAGTATAATAATAAATTTACTTAAGATTACTTGAATTTATTAATATTTTTTATAATTTATGTTTTAAAATTAATAATTTTTAATAATTAAAAAATTTAAAAAAATAATTATAATTAAATTTGATTATTATTTTCAAATTTATTTTAAATAAATATATTTATAAAATTATCAAATATATATATTTAAAGTTTTATATAATTTAAACAATATTAATTAAATAATAAAAGATTAAAAAATTATTTTAATTTTTATAATCAAATTTTTTCAAAAAAAATTTTAACAAAAAATATTAATTATGAAAAATTTTATTAAAATAAATTATTATATACTTTTAAATAAACTTATTTATTAGATTATCAATATATATATTTAAATTTTATATAATTTAAATAAATATTTATAATATAAGCAAAATAATAATTTTATTTTTTTTTGTAATAGACTATATTAAATTAAATTAATTAATTATATAATATTATATCAATAATTATTATATGTTTTTTAATTATTAATTCTTATTTTTAAATAATATATTTTTAATTACTCTTTTATATTTTATTTATTTTTATTTATTTAAATTAAGTATTATATTATTCTCTAAATATATGAATTAGATTAATTAATTATGTAAAATTAATATATAATTAAATTAATAATTTATTTATATTTTATACTTTTATTATATTAGATTTGAATATCATTCAAATAATAAAATTATAAAATTATAAGTATTTAATAAATTAAAACTATTTAATTTATATTTTATTTTATTTATAACTATAAATAAATAATTTTATATTATTTTAAATAATAAAATAATAAAATTTTTCAAATCAGAATCTTTTAAATTAAATTTAATATCAATTTTATAAATATATTTAAATAATTATTTTTATTATTATTATTAAGATTTTAATTTTTTGTTCTTTATTAATATTAAATAAACTATTAATTATTATAAATTTATTATACTTTTCTAATAAATAATAGGAATTTAACTTATTTTTCTTCATTTTCAAATTATAGTAATTTCTTATTTTAATTTATTATTACTTTATAAAATTTAATTAAGTTATTATCAAGTATAAGATTATAATTATTATTTATAATTATTAATAATTTAATTTTTATAATATTTGTTTTCAGAATAACTAATAAATTAATTACTTTTTCAAGCGCTTTCTTTTTTTGATTATTAATTTTAATTAAATTATAATATTAAACTTTTAAATTTTTCAGCCTATCTTTTTAGGAATTATTTTATTATTATATTATTTATAAAATTATTATCTATTATATTTTATAAAACTAATTATTAATTAAACTATTTATATATATAGTATATATTAATATATATTTGACTTTATTAGTTTTCATTTTATTTTAAAAAAATATTTTCTTAAGTTATTATTAATTGAAAAACTTTTTGATAGTAAATGTATTTTTATCTTTTAAAAATATATTTAGAAGTTTAAATATTTCTTTATATTTAAATAAATAGTTTATCTATTATTATTATTATTATTCTTTTCTTTTATTATTTTTATTTTTATTATAATTATTATTCTGATAATTATTATTCTGATAGTTATTATTATTATTTTTATTCTCCTTTTTTTAATAATATATTATCAATATATCCAATGCCTTTATAATTTTCATAAATTTTCAATTTTTTTATTATTATTATTATAAATTATTATAACTATTATTTTTTTCTTAATAAATAATTAAATTTTTATAATTATTATATCTATTGAATTTATTTTATTATTAAAATTATTATTAGATTTATTAGAAATTGAAGGATTTTTTAATTTTAATTTATTTTGCTAACTTTTCAATTTTAATATTTATAGTTGAATTTAATATGAATGATAAGATTAATGTAATTATTATTGTATTATATTATTGAAAGTTTAAATTATTATAGATTTTTATATTAATAATATTTAATATAGCAGATCAAATTTACAAAGAATTTAATTTCAGATTCAATTTATTTATATAATTTAAATACATAAGTTAAATTTACTCTTTTTATTAATTTTCTAATAATAATAATAATATATTATATTTTTATTAGATAAATTTTTACTTTAGTTATTGATACTATTTATATATATAATTATGGTTTCAAAATATAAATAAAATTAGTTGATTTCTAATATATTAATTGGACACCACCCAGTGTTAATTGAAATATGCGTATTAAGGAGAGGACTGTAGTTTTTCAATTTATATTATTTATGATCTCAAAATGCAGTCACTGGCAATTTTCAGGTGACAATAGCAATTATCATGTGTATATTTGATATTGCGAGCACCCCATACACGCACACACTTGTCCAATTATATCAGTTTCTCACGTATCTTCCAATAATATGTGTGGATACTACATTTTTAGGACCGTATCATCATCACTATGTTCATTATCATCACCAATATATCATCGTTTTAAAAATAACTAATGACATATGTGTTTGTAATCAACATATTTTTATCGATATTCGTGAAGTTAACTTTGCTGGCTTAATGCATGGTAATCAGAATCATAAAGCTTTCGTGATTTCATTTATCGTGCGTATATTTGATATTGCGAGCACCCCATACACGCATACACTTGTCAAATCATATAAAATACATCAATTTCTCACGTATCTTCCAATAACATGTGTCGATACTACGTTTTTCGGAGTGTGGTAAAAGCGTATCATCATCGCTATCATCACCATCATGTCATCGTTTCAAAATAACTAATGATGTATGTATTTATAATCAACATACTGGTGGACGTAAAGTATAAAAAGAAAATACATGTATAATTAGAATTAATATACCAATTCACGTAAATAAATACGATCCAAATTTTATAATCATTTTAGTGTTGTTTTAACAAATTTGTGTCTGTTCGAGTTGGTACAAGTTGGTGATTAAGGGTCGAGTCGAGTTCGGGTTATATAAATGCTAACCCGAGTATTTATATATTTTACGAATATGTCCAAAACCCGACCTGATTCGATCCTTCGGAGCATTAATTGCTTTTAAACCTTGTAATTCAATATTTTTGAGCTTTTGAGAATTGAATTTAAAAGTTATGAGATCATTAAAATTATCACGCTTCTAATGCCATAAAATATGAAAGTTTAACTAAACTCACTAACCCATTATTAAATTATACTTCACACGATCTAATGTTTTGATTCATGATGTAATGGATATGCGAATATAACTAGCTATATTTATGAAAAAATATAGTGTGCCATGCGCAGTTACTAATATGTTAATAATACTGTACTTCAAATAATTAAAAATCTAGTAACTTCGTCTTTTGCAATATATTCTTTGTAGACTCGGAAAGAAATCCTATCTTTTTCGTATAATCTTCCAGTCTCCACAAACCGCATGTCCACAGTATAATACGCACATCCCGTTCTCCATTCCATGACTGCATCTAGAGCGAATCACAATCGTATCTTTTGTGAATCCTTCACGTGGTGATGAATATTCGCGTTCTTCTTCAGTTTGAGGACGTATCTGGCCGTATAAATGAATTCTTCGGCAAATTTCTGCTCGATTTTTGGCTTTATATTATCATAATCGAGTTCCTCCTCATCTGAAATGTATATTATTTCAGTTGTTCATCATTTTCCTCGTTCTCTTCATTGTCATCCATGAGATCAATATAGATACGTTGTGTCGCATTCTGGGTGTCATTTTGAGAAGATGAGTTATTGGAATTTTCGGGTTGAACTTGCTCTTCTCTTCATTGTCACTCAATTCAATTGCTTCAATAGAGGGTGCTGATTCTTCATTATTCATCGATGTTTCCCCATCATCCAACAATATCAATGTAGATGGGTTGCACAAAATTTTGGGTATAATTTCAGGTTGAATTTGTTCATTATTTTTCTCCTTTTCACTGTCACTCGACTCAATTACCTCCTCAATCGTAGGTGCTGGTTCATTACTATTCAGCGACGTTTCTCCCGCTTCTTCAACGCTGAAGCTGATTACGTCGCTCCGACCCGAATGTTTAGAATTTGTCGTTCGTGAAATTCTATCGCCTCTACGACTGAAACGATTTCGTGCCACTCCAGTGTTTTTGTCTTGTATGCTTTGTGGCTGAATTCGCTTACCACTTCTGCTGTCCTGAATTCTATAAGATTGTGCCATTTTCGCTTGTGTGAAAGTTGGGTATATCGTATATGACCTATTTTGGTGATCGTCCGGCAGTTCAACGAAAAATATATTTAAAAATGAAAACATTATATACAACGACGGGGGGGGGGGAGAAAAGCGCGACGAAGAGAAAGAGTAATAAGGTCTGTGCAAAGCAGAGCCGATTATTAAGTAGTTGCGTAGTAGTTATTCACTACAAACTACCACTACAAGCGTATAGATGACGAATAAGGACTGGGCAATTCTGTGGTCTCAACAAAAAACTAGGTCGTTGATTTACCTGTGGTTTTTTATTTTTTTGTGATACTACTTCCTACTAGGCTTGGTAATTCACACCTTCACTTTATTTGGTTGGTTCTGTCTGAGCGTAATAGACGATAATAATAATAAATCTTTTTGCATTTAGTGACGGTTGTTTTTTGTCTGTTGTGTAACCAAAAATCAATATACATGGGTTCGATAGAAATATATATCGGTCAGTGGATATGTCCTCTGATCTGCGATGTAATACAAATAGAATTTTTCATAAGATTTATATAATATTATTTCTTCTTTTAATCACTAATTATTTATTATTTTTAAGAAATAATAATAATAATAAGTAGTTTAAAAGATGCTTATTTGTTATAATAAGCTTTTATTATATAATTTTTATCACTTGTTATTTTATATATCCTTTTTTTACAAATATAATATAAAGATTCTTTAAAATAAATCAATTTTTTGCCTTTTTTTTGTTTGAAATTAATAAAAAATAGCTCGTTGATCCTATTAACAATAAAATTTATTATTCCTTTTATAATTATAACGTTATTGTATTATAACAAAATTTGACCAATTTAAAAAATCTCCTGCTCTTTTGGGAAAAAAGATAGCCAGGAATGGCAAACATCATTAAATGAGCATTAATCTATCCATTTAATGGTGTTTGCCATTCCTCGCTATTTTTTTCCCACAAGAGTGGGAGATTTTTAAAGATCAGTCATCAAATATTATAACGAAATTCGACCAATTTAAAAAATCTCCCATTCTTGCATGAAAAAAGATAATAAGGAATGGCAAATATCATTAACAATAAGTGAATTCACAATATTAGCAATAATATTTTATATAATTATGCTAGGTTAACGTTAAGTTTTTTTAATGAAAATCAATTTAGAATGATTGTATTATAGAGATTAATACATACCAATACGTATATAGTCTTGAGCACTCTTTTTATTCCCAAAAAATATAATCAAGTGTAATAATAAATAAATATACTGTTAATTCAAGAATAAATAGCTTGAAAAAGTTTTAAAAGATTTATATGATTTATTAATAATACTAATATCAATATGCTTTAAATTTTAATGTTAATACATAGTAATAGAATATCTTATTATGGGTCGGTGCAAAAATATCCATACCTCAGATAAATATTAATAAATTATTTTTTTAAAATAAAATTTTAATTCTGTCTTATTTA